TAAGATGGGTTAGCATAGTTTGCACAAAATATTGGGTTAGTATTTGAATCAGCCCATATATATATATATATATATATATATATATATATATGGAAGGATTCAAACGAGAATACATTCATTTTACAAGAACACCCATTTACTATAGACAATCACATGTGATACTATCATCCCATTACATATGATACACATGTGATACCAAATCAGAGACATGGACGATTTTCGATGCGATCTTGGTTGCGGGCCAAGTCGTCCTTATACCACTAAACCCCTCACAAGTATTATCACATGTGATAAGAGTGTTGTTGATATGATGCTATAATCCATCAAGACCATCACATGTGATGCTAAATTATAGACACAAACAACCTTTGGTGCGGCATAAGTCATAGAACACGTCGTCCGCATATCACATGGTCTCCTTACGCTTATTATCATATGTGATAAGGGTGTTCTCGTGTTCTCGTAAAATGAAGGTCGTTTGAACCTCCACACACACACACACATATAGTTTTCGACACTGCGCATTGCATGGTGATCAAAACTCAATTTAAGAAAAAACGTAAAAGCCTCGGCTCGAGCAGAAGTGCGAAGTGTCTGAAAACTCTGGATTGTATTTATATTTATAACGCCCCATCCAACACCGTAAATCATGATTTGAAGAATAAAAACTTCAGAAAGAAGCACGGTATTAAGTCAACACCTTCATTCTATGTATATATAAGTGATATAATAGATACTTAAACTACGTTTGTTATTATAAGTACTACAATAATCACAACTCTTGTTAAGAAAAAAAAATATATCATTTGCATTCATTTTACACACAAAAATTACCAATTAGTTGGTTTTAATTTCAACCATTGTTATAGATTTCAAAGCTCCATCACGCTTTTATATATCTATCATCTTCTTCTAAACTATCATCTTTCTACCAATATGAGATGATGAAAGTCAACCTTAATTCAAATTTGAGGAACAATCAAGCCTCATGTTGCCAAGTCATCATCCTCGATTTCACTTTTACTTTTGCACTGTAATTTTTACCATTTAGTTGGTTTTGATTCCAACCATGGTTATAAATTTCAAAGAGGATCATCCAAAATAAGAAAACCATGTGATACAAATCATATGATTTGACACAAAGACATCTCATCCACCTTTCTTATACGTTTCTCTTTGTTCAAATCTTTTAACTTTTCACTAATGTAGGATAACTAAAACTCAACCACAATTCATCATTTGAGAATACTCAATTTTCATGGTGTCACCTCAATACTTCTAAGATTTTCCTTATATATATATATATATATAAAGATAAATATAGTTTCTTCAATTGTCATGTAATTAAAAATATGCATGTATTGATATAAATAAAATTATATATAATTTTATATATTTGTGGATTCAAATTTCTTTTTATAGAATAATGAAAATGGAGTTAAAAAAAGTATGAAAATAAAGGGGTTAACAATTAATGTGTTGATTGTATATTAAAAATACATCAAAATAATGAGAAAAAAGATAAATAAGATTGAAAGCTTCTCATTGAACAACTTTTTGGTTCTTCCTTTAATATATATATATATATATATATACATATTATGTGGAAATATGTGGAATCCTATTAAATTACTTTTCAAAAAACACTTATAGAAAGGAGGGAGGTCCAACATATATGTATTTTAACACTTAAAATTGTATGCTCACTAGATACTAGGGGACGTTTGGTTCGTCAGAATCCGCCAGAATCTAATGGAATTGGAATGATCAATTCCATTGACCAAATTATATTTCAACGTTTGGTTACCATGAAATGAAATTAAATTTCAAAGATTACATCATTTGATGATTTCACCATTCTTTCCTAAAACTGATGGAATTGAAATCCATTCCATCCAAGAATGTGGAAATGACAAAAATACCCTCATGATGCTAATAGTATCATCATCGATTGATTATTGCTTCCTTCCAATTTCTGCTTCTTCAAATTTCTTCTTATTGATTACTGCTTGCTTCCCTATAACTATAATTGCTTGCTTCCCTATAACTGCTTGCTTCCCGATTACTGCTTGCTTATCGATTATTGGATCTTCGATAAAATGGAAACACATAAAGGAAGATAAAAAGAAGAAACCCTAGAAACAAAAGCCAACAAATTTCACGCATGTCGATTACTACTTGCTTATCGATTACTGGATCTCCGATGAAATGAAAACGCAGAAAAAAAAGACAAAAAGAAGAAATCCTAGAAACAAAAGCCAACAAATTTCACGAGAAGAAGAAATATGGAATTGGAGTCCATGTAATTGAAAATATGAATGGGTTTGCTTCCATATCCAATTTAAAAAAAAATATTAAAGAAAAGGTATTTTTGTCCTTTTTCATTATTCCATTTCAATTCAGTTACAAACCAAACAGACAGATTACAATTCATTAAACAAATTACATTTTAATTCTGTCAACCAAACACTTGTTCAAACCTAATAATATTTCATTCCAATTCATGTGTAAACATTCATCTCCCTCTTTGCAAAATCTTCATGATTACTCGCTTAGACTACATTATATGATGGATTCTACTCAAAATCTCCATCTAAATTATGCATATTGGACTTTGCTTAGCTCTCTTATTGCTATTTGTCAGTTGCACATAAAAAGCCAGTGATTGAGCGCTTGGTGCTAAATCTTGACCAGATCTTTAACATGTGCTTATTCATTGTGAATTCATGTAGGTGGTCACAATGAACCTCTACGCACCATTCATATGTGAATTCTTCAAGGATGCTCGGCAGAAAACGTTATCTTTTAAGTCTAATCTGTCTCTTTTATGCATAATGCATTCCTTCTTTAGTGAAGCTACTAACAGAAACGAACATAATTGCACCTACGCTGGTGTTTGGAATTGTTTATAAAAATAACTTATTAACTTATTCCGATGTGACATCGATAACAAGCATTTTTGAGTGTTTGGATAAACAACTCACCAACGATAAAGAGTTTTGAAGAAATTAAAGTCTTCTGACTTATAATAAATTGATAGATGTTTTTGTAAAAAAAAACATAAGATATTTCAAATAAGCAATCCACACAACACGTGGTGTAGTTTTTGATTCATGCAAAGCTCAAGAAAACAAAAGAACAACCACCACATATCTCCATTACCAAATTAAAAGCATTGGGAGGAAGGGGGCAAATACGACAATTCACATTATCCTATCCTTCTTCATCATCCACTACAAACCCTAATCTCCCCCTCTCTCCAAACATCCAGAAAACCCTAAAAATTGACAGCATCAGATCAAATCAAGATCTTTGGTACCAGAAGTAGTTGCATAAGCTTGAAGAGCATCACCTGTGAGCCTACAAACCCTCCATTCCTGCATAACATTCGCTCCCATTTCTTCGTAGAACTTTATGGCATTCGTATTCCAATCCAGCACAACCCACTCCACCCTCCCGTACCCCATCGCCACCGCCTGTCTCGCCACCGCCGATAACAGCATCTTCCCCAATCCCTTTCTACGATAACTCTCCCTCACGAACAGATCCTCTATGTAAAACCCTGGTTTCGCTAAAAACGTCGAGTAATTAGGGAAAAACAGAACGAATCCAGCTACCACCACCCCTGCTTCCGTGGTCGATGACTTGAAGACTTCCAGTTCCGGATCGGAGATTGGATAATCGAGATTTAAGGTTTTGTGGATCGGAGTGAATTTGGAGTGGTGAGCGATGGAGGAGGAAGGAAATGGTGTTGTGGAGACTTCGATGAGGAAAACGGTGAAGGATTCAAAGGGGTTGTCTTTGGAGAAGAGGGTAGCGGAGAGGGAGGGTTCGGTGGCGGAGCACTGATCGGCGAGGCGTTCGAATACTGCCATTTGGTAAATCATTTTGTGAATGACTGGGACGTCGGCTTTGGTGGCGAGGCGGATCCTGGTGAAGAGTGGGTGGTTGATCGGAAGGTCCATGTTTGGTTCTGCGGCGGTGGTTGGCGGTGGTGGTGGTGCTGCGGCGGCCATTTTTTCTCTCTGTTAACGTCGGCGGGTTTTTACGTTTTCTCGATAATCAATGCCGTTGGATAACACTCGAAAGACGCTTTATAAACAAAAAGGGGAAGAAGGTACGAGGCTAGAGGGGTAGTTTCGTCTTTTCGTAAAATGAATTTTCAGAGAACAAATTACGTAAGCTTTTAAAACACAACTAAAAAAAAGTTCTATTTAAGAAAATTATCACTTATGGGGTGAGATTAGAAGATAACTTTGAAAGAAAAAACCATCCATCTAAATCATATTGTTTGTTTACCTTATAGAAAGTGTTTGAGATTGCTTATTTTAGGTGTTTTTTGATTTATTTTAGTCTGACATCGATGATAAGCTAAATGCTAGTGTTTGGATGAAGAAAAATAAAACTGTTTATATCGGTGTCAAACTGGTAATAAGCAGTTTTTAATAAGTTAATCATTCCTAACTTATGAAAAAATGTTTATTACCAGTTTACCATTTTAACCTTGTTTCATTAATGTTTGTTAATTATTAATCTTATTGATATAAATTATTAATCTTATTGATATAAATTTTTGTCAAATATATTATTATAAATGATGAAAAATAAATTTTCACATGTTAAAAAATCAAATAAGTTAATAAGCACTCTCAAACACTCCCATAAGTCAATAATATGAAAGATTATTCTTTTTGGTCATTTTACATATATAAGCAAAATTTGTCAAATACTAAAAAATAATTTATCAGCTTATTGCTTTTTGGTACCGTTATAAGCTAATCCAAACACTTTTTACAAAACTCCGGTTTGATATCACATAAGTTAATAAACACTTTTACAAAAAAAACATAAGTTGTTTTAAATAAGCAATCCCAAACACCCCCTTAATAGTTCAATTAAAAAAAAAAATTTGAATCGTTAAGAGGTGAATTTTGTTTGACAAAAAAAAGTATGCTTCTTAATGGTTTTAAAACCTTCCGAATGATTTTGTATCTTAGGTCTTCCTTAACCATTTAGCGTCTTAATTTCATTGTAAACAATTACCAAACAATTATATTTCATTTTGCACTATATTATGAGAGCTTCTTAATCATTATGACCACTTAATCATTTTGTACCAAATCATTCAGCAACTATCAACATAACCCCTAAATATGGTTAAAAAGATGGGTTATAATCGTTTTTTAAATTCAAAATTGATGAAACATGACAAAAATTAAAGTGAAACAAATTACACAAAAAAAAAACGATCCTTTTATTATCTATAATTTTACCTTCATTTTGATATAAAAATCATACGTTTTTTTTTCATGGTTCTCTGTTTTTTTTCTTTGAGGTTCTCTCTTGATCTTTTACTTCATTATCTATCGTGCAAATAAGAGATTAGACAACTTTAAGACTGATAATGGATTGTAACGCTGACAAAAAAACATATTGATTAAAAAAACCCGTCATCGTGGATTGTAATGTTAGTAAAAAAAATAATAATTTAAAAAAGCCGTCATTGTAAAGTCATCGTCAAAGATTGTTGTTCTCAGGATCATATTGAATTTGGACAACATGTTGGTAAAGTGTTGTCTTCGTTTTCAACGATAGAGAACGTGCTTGAACTTTTGAAACGGGTAATTTTAAACGGCCCCACATAGAACTTAACTTTGAACAATTTACCCGGTAAGTGTTTACTGTGGTAAAAATCATCGCCCTCACTTACTGGGTAAGACTTTTGGTTCTTGTCTCACTCTTACCAGGTAAGATTCTTGGTCCTTGCCATATTCATCCAGTAAGGTAATGTGATTTGGTATTCACTTACTCAAGTAAGCGTTTGGTAAACGACCCTAAGTCATAAACAGAAGACCTTCAAATATTCGGAATTTTTCATCATTTCTCAAGTATCGAAACTGGTTTATTTCCTTTTTAATTTCTCTACCATACTTTTCCATTCGTCCATGGTTTTCCTTACTAATGAAGAACCGATAACCTCGAGATCCAAGGGCATCCGTCCGCTATACTTCACAATGTCTATCAAAATATCCTTATGAGATTGCAACGCAACATAAGCATGCCGACAGAAGTGTAGGAATATATTTAAGATAACGTACGAAAAGAACGAACAAAGCAGTAAAAAGTGTTGACACCTGCGTTTAACACAGTGTCCGTAAAACAAATTCGTCCCACTATAAACAAATAAGTCTTTGGACATTCCAAAACTTGTTAAACAACTCCTTAGACTTTCTAAAACATGTTATATACATTCTTATGACCTATAAAACTAATTAACGTCGTAAAATAATGGAAAAAACATGGAAAAAAATCAATGAACATTCATATTTTGAGCGATAAAGTCCCCAAATATTTTTTGAACCAAAAAGTATTAATTAAAATAAATTTCACCAGTAATATTTTTAAATATCTTTTATAATTAAAAATCACATACGTGATATATTTTATTTTTCATTAAAATAAATTTAATCAGTAATTCTTTTTATTTTTTTTACTTTAAAAAATCGCTGACATAAATTTTATCAAAAATCTTTTATAAATGTAATTATTGTTTTGTAAATGTAAGTACTTTTTTGTTATATTTGTTTTAATTTTATAGATTTAAATACTTTTTGGTTCAAAAAATGTTTTGGGAGTTAATCGCTCAAAATATGAATGTTCATTGGGTTTTTTTTTTTTTTGATTTTTCTATTATTTTACCGCATTAATTAGTTGTATAGGTCATAAGGATGCATCTAACAGGTTTTATAAAGTCTAATAAGTTATTTAACATGTTTTGAAATGTCCAATGACTTATTTGTTCCAAAAAATTATCCAAGAACTTAATCATTCCAAACACTAAAATCCATTGAGTTTTTTTATACTATTCCCCCGTTAAATATTTCAGAAAAGGGACAAAATTGATTGTTTTATATTTCAGATGATAAATATTTCTCGGAATATGAGCCGTGAGTCAAACCGATATTTGAATTGAATTTGAGATACTCTAAACGTCATAAAAAAATTAGAATTTTCATTTCTTTTAGTTTGAATGTTTGATCGTTATCTATTCATACAAGATATTTATTAGATTGAATGTACTTATCAATCAATCGATTTTTCTTATTACCAGTTTGGCACTGGTATAAGTTGTTTATCCAAACAATTAAAAAATGCTTATTACCAGTACCACACAAGAATGAGTCAATAACTTGTTTTTATAAGCAATCTCAATAACTTGTTTTTATAAGCAATCCCAAATATCCATCGTAAACGTAGGTAAACATTTGGTCGTAAAATGTTCACCCGGTAAAAGTTCGGTAACGAGGTGGTGTTGATGACGTAATACTTTTAAACAACAATTTATCGTTTGCTTGTTTGACTTTATCGATCGACAGAAATGGTTGAAGCCCGTTTGGTACGTTCCAGGAAGGTTGACGATGGATGGCGACTACACTGGACAGGTTACGATTCCTATCCCCACGGGTCTTCACCACTTCTAGAAGTCCATCCTTCTCACAATCACTACTTCATTCAATTGAACAAACCATCAATTCTGCTATGTTTCCCCTGCCGATGGCTGCTCACTTTGCATCGCTATCTTTCATAAATCAAGGTTTGGTGTGATTTCTTCCAAAAATTATGCGGATTTTTTGTGGTTGTAGGTCGAAGAAGACGAGTTCCGACGTGATCCCCTCATCCATCAAAACTCCAGGCTCTACATATCGCATGTCTTCGTCCACGAGGACTTCTAACGCAGATCTGTCACCTCGTGGATCGTCCTTTGCTTATTCGTCGGCGGCAGCTTCTAGTTCCAATGGTAACAACAGTTACAACAAGGATTCGTGGAAATCGTCTGTTTCTAGCCGGAGCTCACTTTCGAGCCTCCGTCATTCCTTACCAGAAAATCCTCATGTTTACGATTTCAAAGAGATCTTCTCCGCCACAAACAAATTTCAATCCACAAAGTACTCTTCCTCGTCGTCTTCCGCCGCTTGGAGATGTGTGATTCGCGGCGACGAGGTTGTTGTATTTCAACGGAAGTTTCGGCGTCCAATTGAAGAGACAGAGCTTCGTGAACGGCTTCTAGTGATTTGCAAAAGCCATCACTCGAGTCTGATTAAGCTTCGAGGCGCTTCCATGTCTGGAAGCTACATATACTTGGTTTATGACTATGTTAAAGGCGCTAGCCTTGCCGATTGCCTTAAAAACCCTAAGAACCCTAACTTCACCGTACTTTCCGATTGGATGTCGCGAATTACGATCGCCGCTGATCTCGCTCACGGTCTCGAATACATTCACAACTCCACAGGGTTGGAGAAGAAATTCATCCACAATCACATAAAAAGCACCAGCATAATTGTAACGCAATCGTCGTCACTGAACGCGAAAATATGCCATTTCGGCACGGCGGAGCTTTGCGGAGAAACAGATAGCAGGTCGGACTCAGATCCAAAAAATTCGAATTCAAAATTTGTGAAATTCGAAGGTACCAGAGGCTACATGTCGCCTGAATTTCAGGCTACCGGCATTGCGACGCAGAAGTCCGACGTGTACGCTTTCGGAGTTGTAATTTTGGAGATATTGTCAGGCGAAGAACCGTTGAAGTACAGGCAAGATAAGGAAACTTTCGTGAGAGTTTCATTGATCGATACGACAAGAGAGGCGGTGGGCAGCGGCACCGTGAGACGGTGGATGGATAGGCGGCTGAAGGACTCGTACCCGGAAGAGGTGGCAGAGAAGTTGGCACGTTTGGGGCTTGAGTGTCTGGAGGAGGAACCGGAAAAGAGACCCGACATGAGTTGGGTTGCGAGTCGGATCTCCAAGCTGTATTTGGACTCACAGAGTTGGACGGAGAAAATGGGATCGCTTCCGGCTGATTTCACCGCCTCCTTAGCCCCCCGCTGATCAGTCATGAGTTTTAGTAAATGACGTAGAAGCCCCTTTTCTTTCATTGAATGTTATAACCACCCCCTGTATTTTCTCCACTGGAGAGAGAGAACACTGTCTTGGACGGTAAAAAGTGCAAATATGCAGCGATAAGATAACACGTCAATGTACAAAGAAAAACGTTCGAAAATTTTGTCTGAATCAAATGCATATAGCGTTAAAATCAAATTTTATCCGGTAAAATAACAGTTGTTTGTTGTTACAGCTTCAATATAAGCTAGCCTTTGTATGAGTTGTAGATCCATCCTAGTCAAAGATATGGAACGCTCACACTAATTCATATGCATTTGAAATATTCCTTTACTTGAATCAAAAGTTCTACGGAATTCTTCTATGAATCCATATGCTTAGGTCGGGGATGATGTTTTTATCAAAGAAAATCATTTAAATAGATTGAGAAAATATCTATAAGATAATTTAATTAATGTTGGGTCGTTGGAGATAGATATCATTACAAAACACTTCAAATGAAACTAATAATTACCAATTAATACTTTAAGGAGTCGTTTACCAAACGCTTACTCGGGTAAGTGCTTACCAAGTCAAATTACGTTACCAGATGAATATTGTAAAGATCAAGAATCTTACCTGGTAAGTGTGAGACAAGGACCAAGAGTCTTATCCGGTAAGTGAGGGCAACGACTCTTACCCCGGTAAGCGCTTACCGGGTAAATTTTTGCATACGATGTCGTTTTGGTGGACTAAAATCTTACCCGATAAGTAACTGATAGTGTTAAAATTTACCGGTAAACACTTACAGAGTAAGTGTTTGGTAAACGGTCCCTAAATGTTGTAGCTGTAATCCGGCTTCTCCCGGTTACTTTTTTTTTTCTTTTTTGTCATTTTGAGTTCTTTTTTGTTTGGTTTTTGGCTACAGGTCCGTTTACTAAACGCTTACCCAGTAAGTATTTACCGGGTAATTTTCCTCACTGAATGAATATGACAAGGGCCAAGACTCTTACCCGGTAAGAGCGATGATAAGGATGGAGAGTCTTACTCGATAAGTGAAGGTGACGACTTTTACCCGGGTAAATGCTTACCAAGTAAATTGTTGCATATGATACGTTTTGATGTACTACAATTTTACCCAGTAAAATAAATAAATAATATTGACTCCTAACTATAAACACTTACTGGATAAGTATTTTAAGTAAACGGCCTCTATATTGGTAGTCTCATGTGTGGTTTTTTTTTTGCTTGGTTTGGATTTGTTACCTCCCTCCTTTTGATGCCTTATATAGAAGGTGATTACGTGTTTATTTGTTGTTCTAATTTTGATTTTTGATTTAGTTTTAAGTTGTTAGTGAAATAAATTTAATAACTCATAAATAATTTTATTTGATAGCATTTTTCTAGAAATATCAAATAATCCTTTTAAGATTAATAAAATACAGTAAATGCAATGCACAACCCAAACAAGACCATTCGGGGAAGAAGTTGCTCCTATAATAACACTCGAGGGCATAATAGGCATTCCTTTTCACCAACTTGTTAAATATATCGCTTATAAATTTTATAAAGAATTCAGGGACAAAAAAGTCATTTCATCTATAATTAAGAATGAACTTACCTTTGCCATTGACTTTAACAAAGTCAAAGATCCTTCTGAAGTTCATCCACCATTTCTGTTTTGAGATCTTTCAAATGAAAATATGAAATAAAGAAACAATTTATAAATTGTTTTTAAGCTACAACATATTGTTCATGGCTCTATGTGTTTCAAAATCCATGTAGTCACCACCCATGGGTCCAAAAGGACCATTATACCCATACATATTTTCGAAATACCTCTCATCCGGACCCATACCCCCACCCATCGGAGGACCCCACGGAACAGGACCGGAGATATTAGAGCCCGATGCTTCTTGGTTCATGCCTCCTGGTCCATTATGGTTCGATGGTGAGTTGCCAGTTGGCCTCTTGTTGCTTCCACCACCTGCTGTCAGGGATATGGAATTTGACTGTTGCTGCTGTTGCTGCATTTGGAGTTGGTTCTTCATTGGTGACTTCGGCCTGAGAGCTTCGATGTCCGCAGTCGTAAGGACAAGATGACCGGCTTCTGGTGGCGGGTTTCTTCCTCCTCCTCCTTGCCACACCTTCCCATCCTTATCCGCAAAATTTCGAACATACCCCTGAAATTTTTCAACAAAATAACATCATTCATTTTATCGTCTATTCCTACCTAGAGGCCTGTCTCACTTTTCTATTACCATAATCACACATAAAACAGAATGTTAAACGGCCTTAATGAATGGGAACGTTCAAATGAGAACCATAAATAATTTGAGAACTTGATAACCAACTATTTCATGTAAAATTCATAATGAATAACCCTGAATAATCATGCATATTTATCATGAATATCTATCATTACATTCATCATGAATAAAGCATGCATGGTGATCATTTGAACCTGCCCCTGAATGAATATCTGCTATTGACAAATCTTTTCACTACCAATAATCATTCTGGTCGTAAAACCAACCACCAAAGTATTACCAACAAATTTGGTTGATGAGAAGTTGAAGACTAATGATTCTTTTGACCTTTTCCCATGGTGGATGGTACTCCACCACAACTAATATTCCATACACAATTCATGAATCTCTCTTTCACTAATCTTATTCAACTCTTCTTTAATTTAAGGTCATAATATGTTGCAACCAGGAGATACATCTTGCATTCTTGTAATCATTATGTTTTACCACCACAGAAATGATTTTCTTTAAAAGTTGACAAAAGAGAGGTGGATGAAGAAAAAGTTACCTCGGAATTGAAATTTGACGAGGATAAATCTTTACCAACAGTCAACCAGCCAGACCGTATATTATGATCTTCGCCGAAAAGCTCAAGTCTACGGCGACCGAGCGAGAAATGCTCAATTATCCGGTACATATCTTCAGGTTTTGCAGTAGAACCTGCATTTCAATTGAAATAAGTGCATCTACTGCTTGGACTTGATATCTACCGATCTACATGCATTAAAATACTCCATCTTGCAAAATGGATTTGACACATATTTGAAGCAAAATGCTTGACCGTTTATCAAATGTGTAAAAACTTCTCTTTAATCAAGACAAATAAAGAATTCTTCTGGACCCAAATAATATAATCAATTTCTATGTGACTATGATAATGCCCAGAAAAGGAAACGTCGGAATTTAAAAAAAAAAATGCTGCCGTTCTCATGAACGTCCATTCCTTCTGATTTGAAAATTCAAGCCTTCTACTTCTCAATTTCAAAATTGACATTGATGTTTTCAGCTGTCTAGTTTCTAAATGTTCATTTACTGTAATACGTGACAACGTATGAATGTAATAATGCTTTTCCCAAACCTAGAGAAAATCACAAAGAAAACCAACTAACTTTGCTTATAAACCTATTTCCTCTTGAATTTATCCTTGGACCTAAAAAGCATCGAACGTCTACAAACTTTATTGAGGAACCCGTTTCTCCCTTGAAAGTAGAAACCTTTTTGGACCTAAAAATTATTGAATGCCAAGAAAAAAGTTTTATGAATGTCGGCAAAATTAACAATGTAGAGATGACCCCATTAAGTGAAGGGGGTACTAGATCCATCCCTGAAAGTTAAATAATTTTTAGGTCCAAAATTAAGTTCAAGGGAAAAATATGTCCCCAAGAAAAGTTTGTTCCTCTTCTATATAATTTTTCCCTTAAATCTATCACCAAAACACTTCTTTTCAATTTTTGAAGCTACCAAAGTAACCCATATAACACCCAAAAGGTACATGTGGACTCTATTCGACAAAAGAAGTGTTTAATAAAAAGGTCCTTGCTTAAAGGGCAATAACCCCAAGATAAAGGGCAAAACAGTAAACAGCTTAAAAAATACATGGCTAAAAGATGCAAGGAAATTTGATAATTTGTGAAACTACAATGCAGAAAAACATTCATAAATACTGACCATATGGAGGCTCCTCGGCGATGATTACATCTGTGTCAATGTTGGCATGGATTATGTGACCATCAGTGCTGCGACGTACCGTTCCTTTTATGCCCATCAAGCAGTGCTCCTTAACAAATTACAAGCAGTTACATTACAGACAGATAAGAGAATCAAATCAAATCGAATTCTAGGGTAAATTAGATCACTCAAGGATAAAAAAATGACACATGACAAAGAAGACAATAAAACTACCAACCTTTGAGCGCTGGAATAAAGTATGTGAATCATGACGCAATCCAGGTGTTGCAGTGGTTTTGTTTGTTTTCACCCAACATATATCTTCACACCTACGGAATCCCCACTACAATTACAATGAAAGAGGAAAGATTGAAATATCTGATTGATGATCAATTCAGAGGATTGCTGAAACATAATTTTCTTGACACCATATATACCTTCTTTAGACATTGCCGGCCCTGCTCAAGACCAACTCCATCACCAACCCAGAGGAAAACAAAAGATGGTGTGTCGGCTATTGCCTGGAAAAATAAATGATCAAAGTTTCAGACATTATACCATTATGAAAAAAACCTAAAAGATAGGCAAGGAAGAGTTACTATTTGACTTGGGAAAATCAAATGGGGTATTTTCAAGTTACAGAAAGAAAAAGTGAGAACTGTTTTTGATAATTACAATTAATAAGTTTAGGTTCTTTAAGTAAAAAACAAATAATAATGACAATTTATCAGCACATCATAATGAAAAATGAGCTGCTGGAAGCATAACTACCTCAATCTTGAGATTCATTATTTCCTCAAATGTCCAGTACTCCATATGGTCAGTGACCCCAGGAGCTCGATGAACATATTCCTCCCAAGGAGGGTCCACAAGAATAACATCGAACTTGGTCCCAAAGAACTCGGGAGATAAGACTTGCTCGCGCAGGTCACACTTGTAATACATAGGAGCAGAAGCAGAGTTAGCAACAATTTCGTCCTTCTTTTGTATAAGCTCCCGAAGCTTTGGATAGTCCTCCACAACACTAGTGAGCTCTAGTTCCCTGATAAAGTTCTGGGGTCGCATACCAGTGTCAACAAAATTCTGGGAATAATCATTTTGTTCTCCTCTAGAGGGAGCTTTACCAGGAGGCCCATTATTTCTGGGAGGAACCCATCCACCTGGTCCCTTATCTTGTTGCTGCCCGCGGCCCATTGGTCCTAGAGCATTAAAACCAGTACCAGGGATGTTTGGAGGCATTCCTCTTGCAGGTCCGGGTTGGTTAAAATACATAGCAGAATTGGGTGGGGTCCCTATATTTGGAGGAAATCTAGGTCCCGATGGCCCACCAGGAGGAACACCTGAAAGACCGGGTGGAACTCCTGGCCAAACAACAGGAGGAGAAAATGGTGGGATAAAGACAGCAGGAGACATCGGAGGACCTGGACCAGGAGACATGCTAGGTGTAAGTGGTTGCAATCCACCAGGTGGTGGCATTCCGAGTGGTCCAAAAGGTGAACCCATCATTGGCACTTGCAAATTGACTTGTTGACCATCTCTCCCTGTAGGCCGAACCCTTCCTCCTCTTCCCATTCTGTTGTTACCTTTAACACCTTGAGAAACACCTCTGTTAAAGGAACCTGGATCTTGGTATCCATGAGACGGCTGTGAATCACTACTGGAAGATGGTCCTTGCCAGCCACCAGCACGATTGGGCAAGCTACCACGCTGGCCTCTACCTTTCCCTCCCTCAATGTCATCCATGTTTCTGTCATCTCCATATTTATCTTTCGAATCTTCAACAGATTGATCATCAGCATTTCTTGCAATATTGTCGTCACGTGGATAACCGTACTCATCATTTGGTCCTGGTTTTATATCAGACTGCTCATTAACTTCATTTTTCCTCCCAAATGAAGATCTAGAATCCTCCCTTCCATAATTGAAAGGTTTGGTTTCAATCTCTATCACATCATAATTGTCTTTTGAAATACCATAATTTGATGAGGTTTTCACAGCATCAGTCCTGTTCCCATCCTTTCTGCCACCAGCACGACCCATATGCCTTTCAGTGTCAGCCCTATCACGACCACGTCTTTGTGATGGTGACTCCCAGTCTCGGGTGAAGTCATAAGGGGCATCACCGTCTTTCATTTCCTTGTCAGGAAAGTTGGATTGCCTTCTTTTCCAGTTATCTTTCAAGCCTTCACGGTCCCTGTTCTTGTCACCCCAGCAATCATCTCTTCCTTTCGATCTTTCCTCTCTATAACCATCTTTTTCCAGGTCTTTCCTTCTGTAACTGCTGCTTTTATCTGAATCCAACTCACTGTATTCTGTCTCATGATGACGCCTTGCAATTCTCTCAGGGGTCCTGGACCTGGTAGAACGGTCATTGTCTCTTCTACCCCTATCCCTTATCCATGTACTACCATCTTCATCAGCATTATAGGATCTCTCACGGCTTTCAACAGCATCATGTCCAGTTAGACTTCTCTGCTGCTTGTGATCATCAATTTTCTCCTTGACTGCCATATCTTCATGACTTGAGGGATTTTCTTCATTGTCTTCTTCATGAACTTCTAAATCTCCCTTACTCTTAATCTTCTCAATTTCACCTCTTCCCTCATCCTTTTCATGGTATTTAACACCTTTATCACCACTCACATCAATACCCCTGCTTCTACTCTCATTTGCTTCACTATAGCCAGGCAAACTTCGTTCCATAGAACCCTCGTGCTTCATATCTGAAGACTTTCCAATCCTTTGATCAGATTTTTCCCCATGGGTATTTTCTTCTACCTTGCTAACAACATTTGCATCATCCCACCTTTTTCTTGGATGTCGTCCCGAATCAGAAGACCCATGACCCTTTTCTCGGCTTATTTCCTTTCTCTCAGAGTGTCTTAAATCCTTGTCCTGAAGCTTTTCAAGCTCTCCATCATGCAATCTTTCATCTCTACCCTTACTTCTGCTTTGGGAACTCTCACGATCAGACAGTTTTGAAGCCGATTTTCTTCTCTCACTTCTTTCTCCACCATCATGTCTGTTCTCTCCCTCTCCATCCTGATACCAATTGCTCAATGTCTCCAAAGCACTCTCTTCTTGTTTCTTCTTCAATTGCTTAGCTCGTGACTCCTTTCGTGACTCATAATCATCATCCTCACTAACTGCCTTACTCGAGCCACCTGGCCTCTTCCTACTCTCGCTTTTCTCCTCACCACTTCTCTTTCTTCCATTATTTTCCAATCCTTCAGCTTCCTCTCCACTCCCTGATTGCCTTGACTTGCCCGACCTCCGCTTTCTCCTCTCATCCACTTCCCATGTTTCATCGTCTCTGGCCCTATCACTCCTTGCACCTGAACTATCTTCTATGTCCTTTTTCACAGAACCTTTTACACGTTCGGGTGAACCCATCAGAGATGCCACCTATCTATACTATCAATTACAAGATAATACACAGAAGAACCACTATGAGCACACCATCCTGAAAAGTCAAGTAAAATAACCCAAAAAGGGTATAATAAGTAAATGAAGCATGCCCTTTACGGCTGATGATCCATAGCACGCTAAATAGAATCAGGCATGAACTCATTGGTCTGGACAAACTATTAACATATACTCCCTCATTTGGAAATATTTTACAAAAGAAGATTTGGATAAATATGAGATAAATCTGAATATTAAGTTCAAACATAGGTAAACTCACAGTAATTTCAAATGCAAACTTGACACGGATTTCTTTGCATGTTCACCTACGTTCTACCATCTGAAGTAGTTACCAGAAAGTATAGCTATAAATTTTCATCACAAATCTATTCAGAACTTCTATAAATTTTGAAGTCGAAAAATATCCCACTCGACCTAAAAAATTTGTGAAGAGCATCTCTCTCTTTTTCAACTGGAGAACAAGGAGCTTCCTAATGCATCCAAGTGGACCATTATTCTGTTCACTCGTCACTTCATACATAAAACCAAGATGCATACTGAAAGAACTAATAAGTTTTGTAGAAGTTCAATAATCGAAAAGGGTTCGAGCAAAAGAACCAATTTGAAAACCTAACATATTTTAACTCGACCAGCATACAAACTCAATCAAGATTCCGATTGCGATTCCATGGTATTAGTTAAACTTAACTCTAAATTCATCAACTGTAAGAAATCCAACCAACCAAAAGACACGCTAAAGATAACTGAAATGTAGGAAAGAGTAACGATTGATTGGGTGAATGGAGAGATACCTTTGAAGATGCGCGTTGGCTGATTGCACCGAAATGTTGTGCGAATTGAAAGATGGGGAGAAAGGAGATCGGGGTTAAGAATTGGGGAAAAGGAATCTTATGAAAGTTGAAGTGAATTTGTATGTATATGTTATTGAAGGATGAATAGAAATTGATTCAATATCCGTTGGTGGGTTATTTAGGGTTTTTGTAGTTGAAGGCGTCTTTGACGTAAGCAACGTCTGTTTGGCCCTGCCTTCACAAACCAAACACTACATCTGTTTTTGTTGTTTACATAAAATTATAAACGTTTTGCTTACTATTTGATCTAAGTAGGGGTGTTTACGGTGTGGTTTAGGGTTAAATTGTGAAGCGCACTGTATATATGGTTTGAGCATTTTCCGAAACCGTAGCGATATGGTGCGGTTTGTACCTATCGCACATTATGCTTACAATTTAACAATCATAAGTTTAAAAATACATTAACGATAAAGCGACCATAATCCAAAAAAAAAATAAAGAGTTTCAATACATCTGATTTCCAAATACATATTTCATAATTAAAAATAGTCTAAGAACTAAAAAGAATGAACTTCAACTTCAAAGTGACGTATCCAACTAGTTTATTAATATTGTCAATTGTCATATTGGATTAGCCTCAAAGTCCGAAACACGAGTCCAAAAAAATTACGTTAATAATAAATTATTCTATATATGTGTCTGTGTTATATACATAATTAAAAAATATACATGCGGTGCGGTTTGAACCGCAATTTGATAACTCAAAACCGCAAACTGCACTGCATATTACTGTTTGGTAAAAGTGCAAACCGCAAACCGCACTGCAAAAGTTCTAAACCGCGTTTTGTGGTGCGGTTTGGATGAACACCCCTAGTATTAAGTTTTTCTCTTTGATACCGTGTATCAATTAATTATAATTTGTATGAAAAAGGCTTATATCGTGTATAAATCGATTATATTTGGTATCAACTTTTTTTTGGCTGTACATGTTATTGGTTTTGTAACAACTTCAAATACATATTTGAAAACTTGTTATTGTGTTCAAATCTTGAGTTTTCAAGTAATACATGTGATGTTTAAGGGTTTTTTTTATTGCAATAAATAAACATGCCAACATTCAAATTTTCAAACAAAATGGTTAAAGTTACAAAGTTTAATATTCAATAAATAGAAAATGCAAAAGTTAATAAATAATTACCTAAGTCTGTATGGTACTACATCAGTACACGACTTCCAACGTCATATACCATTCAAGTTTGTATAGTTTGTACAGTACTACCAACCAATTATAATTTGTACCAATTAAGTTGCTATCAATTTAATTGGAAGGCGTGGTACAACTATTGGTTGGTTTAGTTTGGTACAAAATTGTCACCCGTAAAACAACAGTAGATTTTTACATTTGTAACGATTAAGTTTTTAGAACATTTTCAAATAAATTTTTACATTTATTGAAGCTGAATAAGTAAATCCTTGAACTTGTTGAAACAAATAACTCAATAAACTTGCACATTTTAAAATTTCGAAAATGTAGGGATAAGAAGTGTTATTTTGTATACCTACTACATGCCAAGCAGCTAGGAAGAAATGTAAAGAACGAGAGTTGTTAAAACTAGCATATTGGAAGATCAATCGGCCAAAATAACCATAAGCGGCTACGATATTATAAGATTCTTCTTCTTGACCGAATCTGTAACCTTCATTAGCAGATTCATTTTTTGTGGTTTCCCTGATCAAACTAGAGGTTACCAAGAAACCATGCATAGCACTGAATAGGGAGCCGCCGAATATACCAGCTACGCCTAGGATGTGAAATGGGTGCATAAGAATGTTGTGCTCAGCCTGGAATACAATCATGAAGTTGAAAGTACCAATTGCTGAATGGTTTGGTGAAGAATGATTAAGTGGTCAGAATGATTAAGAGACTCTCATGATATAGTACAAAATGAAATATAATTGTTTGATAATTATATACAATGAAATTAGAGCTTTTAGTGATTAAGGAAGATCCAAAATACAAAATCATTCAGAAAATTTTAGAAAGTATTATAAGACAGATTTTTTAAAAAAAAAAATTTACTTCTTAACGATTCAAATGTTACCTCTTAATAAAACTATTAAAAGGTAAACAAAAATCCATTCTTTTTTATCATTATTATAACTCCCCAAGACTTTATATCCTCCTTAACTTGAGAGACAAGGTGCGTTATTTCGAATTCTTCATTTGGCCATGGCGGCGTGGAGGATGCAGAGGCGATTACTTTCTCTCTTCACAAGCACCACCCAACCTCACATCTCCTTCCGTAACGGTCAGTTATCTTTTCTATTTCTATGATTATGAATGAACCTACCATCTGATTGAAACCCTAACAGTCCCTTTATACAACTTAATTTCAATTTTGTTTTCGTCGATAAGAACGAACGAGCCCTACGATATGATCTTTCTTTTGCCCCCTTTTTGAATATGATTTGTTGCGTAGAAGGTTGAAGAAATCAAGAAAAATATGGTGCAATTTGGGACCAAAATATACAGAGCAGAGCACAATAGGGTTTTTGCAGGATATTTCACATAATTTGTCCAAAATTATTTCTTCTTATTAGGAAAGTGGTTTTGTTTATGCATTTTTGCAAGGATGATTGATGATTTGTTTGTAGCAAAAGTCTAAGTACAATGGTTAGGAAGCTAATCACATGTAAATATGGTGTTTTGGATTTGAGAAATTAGATGATGCACCCTGCTTTCCAAATTTAGAATGATCTTAATGTTCAAAATGGGTTGGTTATTGATATTCAAAAATGATCAAACAAATATGTTGGTTGTGGAGAAAGAATGGATGATTACATTACATGGGAAGCTAAAACCAAACCAATATCCCATATGAAGCATTTGTTTGGTGTCTCGGAGTTGTAATCTTCCTATTAATGATTGTGTTGTTGAGAAGGTTGCCCAAAAGCGGTATATAAGGCGTACCCAGTTGAACTTACAAGTAAACCAGATATAAAGATGGCGACTAGGGTTGCCCATTCCTTAGCCGGAAAGATATGTGGCCATGAAAGGCGAAGGAAGGCTGGCGTCTATTCCCCCCCACTCGTTGCCCAGAGCCTTGACTTGCGGGTCTTGGGAGGGTAAGAGGTATGCATACTTGACCTTCATCCCGAAGAAACAGTAGAGCAGTTGTTTTTATGAAGACCCCTGGATTGTGAAAAGTGTAACAAAGAAGAAAGATATATATTATGAAGATTTGAAAAGCCAGTTAAGATATAGCAATAAAAGAAAAATATATCCAATTTAAGGGAACTAAACACCCTTAGTCTAACTACCAACCCGATCTCCCACCTTATACTACCCCAACTCCCTATCGACTGTCTACACTCGCTATGGTTTCCCACCCCTTGTTTGGTACCCTAGTCCTTTATTTTCAAAAGCTTCTATCAGAGGTCAAGTTTGTGTACATCTTACCCTCCCTAGGCCCCACATCAGGTGGGATATACTGGGCTCAGTTACATGAGAAGCTGTCTGAGCTAAAATAGGAAGTATCAATGTAAAATTAGAATTTGAAAAATAGTTGGTTTCGATTTCTGAAATCAACAGTAGACTGGAGCGTAATTCGTAGGTTTGGAAATTTCAAGTATGACTACCAATATCGGTTATTCTTCTGGGATGAATAGGTTTTATAAGCAAACTCCAAGGCATATCAAGTTTCTTGATTTTTTGTTTCTTGCAATTGTAATTGTGTGTGGTTTTTTATCCTAATAGAAGTCAATATTAATCTTGTTATATAACGTATAATATATTGTGCAGATTCCTCACAGCAGTTTCTTCCTTCTCTTAATTCGTTCCTTCTTGGTGAACGATTCTGCAAAAGACAAACCCGAACATTTTCAGAAACCAGCAATCTGACCCTCAAAAACAACACACAGCATGAAGCTTCGAGTTCAAAATCAATGGAGAAGTCGGCCAATGCTGATGATATGTCTGCAACCAAGAACACAGAGGTGACGTTCAGTGCTAAATCAGAATTGAAGATATCTCCTCGGCATGATCTTGCAATGATGTTCACTTGCAAAGTGTGTGAAACGAGATCAGTGAAGACCATTTCTCGTGAATCGTACGAGAAGGGTGTGGTGGTTGCTCGATGTGGGGGGTGTGATAACTACCACCTGATTGCTGATCATCTAGGGATATTTGGTGAAAAAGGGAGCATCGAAGACATTTTGGCTGCTCGTGGTGAGGAAGTGAAGAGAGGGAATTCTGAGACTTTGAATCTTACACTTGAGGATCTGGTTGGAATGACAAAATCATGAATATGCCTTTTTTTTAGATAGCAATTTTGTATGAATGTTTTTTGTATTGAAAACTATCAATTATCGATGTTGATGTAGTAGAAACGTGAACATTTATTTTATGAAATTTAGATATATTGGAACCATATCCCATCGTGGACTCAAGATCTTCGCCAAGTGGCTGCACTTTTGAAGGTGAATCAAAGATCTGTAAAGTTGTCCAATGTGATTTTAGTTGAATTCCGATGTTTTGAGTTATCTTTTCAGATTTTTAGTTGATTTTGAGGGATTTTTTCGGTTTTTTAAATTGATTTTGAAGAACCTTTTTAGTCGTTTTCGACCGCCTTTTTTGGTTGATTTTCTTTTATTTTTAACATCCCGAAGAATCCTTCAAAGTTTAGTGGGTGCATATTTAATACCCAAAAAGTTTTACTTACAAAAATAAGTCGAGAAGGTGCAAGGAACCCTACTTGGAGCTTAATAGGTCCGCCCTTCATAGTAAGACCAACAGGCCTCCTATCCTCTTTCGATAGACAAAAGATCATTAGGGACTAAAGAGACAACTTGGGATAGATTAAAGGGAAACAGAAAATACAATTTGTATGCATAAAGGTGTCGACTACTACTGAAGCTATGAAGCGTTAAATTCGGGTTTGAATCTTGAGCAGAATGATATTTAAGAGTCATTAATATGTGCTAAATCCAACATTTGTTGAGTTCGGGCAATGAATGTAGCTCCTTTTCTGATACAAACCATTAGCAGATTCAAGGTCAGATGTTGCTGTAGCTTATAAGCACAAACTTCTTATGAACATCTTCACAGGAGCACCAGAATCGAAAACCACCCTGCAAACAACAGATAAAAAGCATTAGGCATAAACAAAAGAAAACGGGTGCAATATTCTTCATACTAAATGATGTGAGTAACAAATACAAAGGTCAAATGTGCGCCCCCTTGTTGATTTTAGCCCTTCGTTATCATTCTTTTTTCTGTATTTTTCTAGTCGGTAACTGTGTCAAAATTGAAGAAAATGGGTGCAGTATATTCTTCAACACCCAGATAATAGAAGAAAAAAATTCCTTGCAAATAGATGTGTGTCAAATTCTGAATCAGCAAAGAATCCTAAACAAAACTGGATTCTAGAGCAAAAAGGTACATAATACTATGGGGCTGTTTGGTAATGGCTTAATAGGCTTAATGTATGTATGGCTTATTCGGTCAGCAATACACGACTGTTCATATCTGGCTTGCTTTATTGGTCAGCCAGGAAAAGGGAGTCATATGGATTAAGCCATTTTTTCAACCCAAAAATCCATATTTCCCCTCTCACACCTTAAATCCACCATATTTTTTACCTGCAAACCCTTTTCAGTCCCTTCAGATTTGCATTTTAGTCCATCATTATTTTAACCTGCAACCTCGCCATGAATCCTACCTACTCCCAACTTCAGTCGCTATAGATTTCATATATATATATAGACTTGGGATCATGTGAGACCAGCCTGTTTTCGTGAGACCCGTGAGACCAGCATTTTACACTTGAAACTTCACAGCAAAAATGCTGTGAAGGTGACTTTTTAAAACCTTCACAGTGTTTTTTGCTGTGAAGGTTCGACTTTTTAACACCTTCACAGTGTTTTTGCTGTGAAGTTTACGTGTAAAAATGTGGTCTCACGGGTCTCACGAAAACAGGCTGGTCTCACGTGAACCCAACCCTATATATATATATATATATATATATAAATTATACTTAAAAAGAAAATAATATAACATTTAATTTAAAAAACCCTTAAATCCATATTTTCAATCATTCAAAAATTAACTATTCAGCATATTTATCAAACAATTATTTTAATCTTGTGTTTAATATAGACTGAGACTGAGTGGTAAACTAGTTATTTTTTTCATTCACACTGTTTATTCAGCAACACAACCGAACAACAATTTAACCTAAATCCATACAGACAACTTAACCCATTCAGAGCTTAACAAGAAACCAACCGAACAGCCTATATGTGTGTTCTCATTGCCAACAAATGACAATACCATACTCAAAGACCACCACAACACACTCAAGTCACTATTTGAAAATTAGAGCCAGGAAGCATGAAACATTGGATGCATTCTTCACAAAATAAGAGCATTTTTGCAAGTGCCATGACTAACTAGTTAAATTACATCCATATATCCACAGACATCCAAGATCCAAATAAAAGTATTAGCATCTTGAAAGGTGAATAGGCAATCCAATCTGATCGAGGCAAAGAACCAGAGATCCTAATCATTATCTACTTCTGAGCAAAAGAATAAACAATTATGGCAAAAATTGTCACAAATGGCAGCAGCATAATAGCTCCTACCACAAACTTCATCTCAACATCTTATCACAGTTTCAAATGTTAAGTCCAAAATTTGGGGTGATTTTTGGCATCCTCCAAGCCCACTATCAGAGACAGAATTACCACATCATTCAGGTAACTCGTAAGCACAAGTCTACTTGTAGATTCAAATTTTTATACTGAGAACAATATTCACTCTTTATTTTCATAAATTACTAAGATCACAACTCTAATGTGATTTTAAAAATGTTTTTATGCGGTGCTAACGATTTAATAACTATCTTTGTAGCTCCACCGTGGAAATACAAGCCACTCAGCCAAAGGAAGATGATGGAGAGTTGCTTCCAAGCCTTGCCTTATATGATAGTTGTGGCCATGGCCCGAAGGAGCCTTAAGCACTTGTACAATGCTTCAAGTCAACAAAAGTCCACAGGCCGCCTAATTGACACCAACGAGTAAAATCTCCTTGTGCTTCAGGACCCCATAGTAATAACAAAGAATAATTCGACTATAGAATCCCTTGCACACGGCCAGCTTAGAAGCTGGTAAGTGACAGGATGTCTCTTGGAAAGGACAGGCCTTTTTTTCCAAAAGTTCTTCATCTTTATACTGATTAACCACTAGAATGAGTTAAAGGGAAGAATCAGAAGAGAAAAACAACCAAGCTAGAACCACATATACTTTATCAAATTCTATCTGTTACAACAATAAGCATATATTAGATTTTCTTGCTTGAAATATTTCAACTAAGAAAACCTAGATTTGGTGGTTGATTCTAGCTTGTGAAATCTACTGGCTTGTGCATATGACAGAAGATTTTTCATAAATTAATAGCATTGTTTTATAAATTGTTCGAGGCTTACGCCTTTAGGTGAGGCCGAAGTTGTTAAAGGCGCAAGGTGTACTTAAGCACAAAGGGGTCCTGGGGCCTAGGCGCAAGGCGCGGGACTCACGAATGCGAGGCGCATCGTATTAAAAAATAATATACACACACATACACATAGTAATACACAACTCAAATACCATTATATAAAAAGTAGTAATATCAACTCAAATACCATTATATAAAACATAGTTCAATTTCAATTTCCAAAAGGCAGCCAAAATAAATAATAATATACATACTTGATACTTATATGTAGAAGCAGCCAACAGGTAGCAAGTAGCAACAAGAAATCCAGAAGAGAGCCCTTAGTGAAGAAGAAGTATAAGGTTTAAAGCCGTGAGGGAGAGTACAATGTATGGACATATGTGTGGTAAGTATTCATAGGAGATGACTGATTAAATTGAATAGACTTATATAATAACTCTTTTTTTTTAGAAGTCTAGGAGGTTAAAAGACATAATTAATATTAGGTTTCGACTTAATAACAATTTTTTGTAGAAGTCTAAGGTGGCATTTGGTTCGCAGAAGGTGTTGGATGGAAAAGAAAATAAAGCGATAGAACCAAACGCCACCTAAGAGACAAGAAAATTATTTGAATTTGAGGCAATCTGTATTAGGCATGCCTAAGCCCATTTTGCGCCTCACCCAAGTCGCTGCGCCTTGGTAACTCGCCTCACCTTGACATGGAAAAAGTCCAGTCCTTTGCCCCTCAGCGCCTAGGCGCGCCTCAGGCGCACTTTTCATAACTACGGTGAGGCGGCCCAAAACTGCACCAGAGGCGACGCCTCTTGGACCTTGGACGAGGCTTATGCCTTGGTTCAATGAGACATAAGGCGGTACCGTCATGTACGCCTCAGATGATCTACTTTGGTAATGGTTTCTTTGACTTTTTTTATAAGCTTTACGATAATAGTAGTACTTTTTTCTTATAATATAAGAATTTTTTTAATTTTAAAGAACTAAAAATCAAAGCCTTATGGCCCCAATCTGTACTTTAAATATCTTGAAATCCAAAAAAAATAGAACTTTCTCCCTCTCAATTAAAAAGTGTGGTTTGACCCTTCATCTTCCTTTAAGCAACCAATTTTCCACACGCTCTCGGCCTATCTCACGGTTTCACTCTGCCTTTGTCAAGATTGAATCAACGCTTCTTAGTAATTTAGTATCTATACATATAATAAATAAGTAACTTGGGTGACACATGCCATCTTCTGGTGAGGCAGTTATCTTGTTTTCCCGCCTAAAGACGTATCTAGACACAATTTACATTATCAGTTCAATTAGACTCATTTGAACGTATCTAGACACAATTTACATTAGTAGCTCAATTAGACTCATTTGATTGACATGTGCATCTTATTCAATCAATCCCACTAATTTAGGATGCAATTGATTTTATTTTTGGGTTAATTAATTTGTATGGTAACTGATTCCCGGAAAAAAAATGGTGTTATACTTCAGATGCATGCTTCAGAGTTATACTTCAGAGTCATTCTTCAGAGTTATTTCAATAGTACAAGTCTGCAATCATTCTTCAGAGTTTTACTTCAGAGGTATTTCAAGAGTACAAGTCTGAAAGATCATTCTAAAGAGTTAGCTCACCCGAACTCTGAAGTCTGCTTTTTCAGACTTAGCTCACCCGAACTCTGGAATCTGAAATCTTTCTTTTAGACTTAGAAAAAGAAGTCGAAAGTCTTCTTTCTCAGACTTAGAAGTCTGAACTTTGAAGTCTTCTACAAGTCTGAGAGTCATTCTTCAGAGTTAGCTCACCTGAATTCTGAAGTCTTCTTTTTCAGACTTAGCTCACCCGAACTCTGAAGTCTTTTTTTTCAGATTTAGAAGTCTAAACTCTGATTTAGTGGGAATGATTTTACATTTTAGAGTTATTACAAGAGTACAAGTCTGAAGAGCCATTCTTCATAGTTATCTCACCCGAACTTTGAAGTCTTCTTTTCCAGACGGAGCACCATGCAGAGCCTTTGCATAGCGCATGCAGAGCTTCTGGCTTGCCTATACAGGGCTCTGAAGTTTGAAGAGTTTTACATCAAAGTTATTTCAAGAGTACAAGTCTGAAGAGTGATTCTAAATTTACTTCTAAGTTTAAATTCAATTTACTGATAGAATTTCATTTGTAAATTTAATTTTATTCTAGGGTTAAACTTCATTTTAACTAATTATTGATATAGTTTCATTTCTAAATTCAAGTCTAAGGAGTCATTTTTCAGAGTTATACTTCAAAGTTATTTCAAGAGTACAAGTCTGAAGTAGCATCGTACTTTCGATGATCATACATATATGTAAGATAAGTTTCCTGACATGATTTAATTTTTTAAAATTACCCCGTGTAATACACGGGATTGAACCTAGTTATATAATATTATACATATATACAAATGTGTATATATTTGTGTAGCATATATACATATTTTGGTGTATATATATTTTTGCCTCCGAGCTTATACCTCGAGTTGCCTCGAGGCTTACGACTCGCCTTGATGAGGAAAAATGCCTCGAGACCCGATTCCACCTTTTAAAACCTTGATTAATAGTAGCAGTCCCTCAATGTAAACAGGATCACATATCTTTAGTGCTATCATTCAACATGAGAAGATAATGTTAGGTCGTTTAATTGTACATACTATTAGTGTTAAATCAATTGCTTTGCATAATAGTTTCAGTTAAAATATACTTATATACATAATTAGAGTAAATAGCATGGTGTCCTTTATCCATATCAAAGTCATGTCGTGTTTAGAACTCTAACGGCTTTTATTGAATTTTAGGCCCATCGTACCAGGACGATGTTCGATGAATAAATAGAGCAAAAGAAAGAAGGTCGAGTGAAAAAAGGCGTGAAGAAGATCATACCTTGTTGGCTCAGCGTGGACAATTACCTAAGAGCCCACATGGTTGCAATCAAACAACCTCCCATACATCATGGCGTCTTCGCTCTTCTCATCCGACATGCCACAAAAATAATTTTGCATCAATTTGAACTTGACATCAAAAAATCGCACCACTACCCAACAAATCAGCTTAATATTCACCTAATCACAATCATCGAACAAATTACGACAACCCAAGAGTTTTATGCAGCTTGATCACTTTTCTTTCATGATAGTAATAACTTACCATTCTTCACATTAACTATAGCATCAGCGGTGGCCAAAATGGACGGCAAAGAATAATAGGAACATCCTCACCCTCGACCATATCAATCACCATAAAATCGCGAGGGATAACTATATTATTCACTTTCAACAGCACATCCTCAAGTAATCCTACTAGGAACTGATTGAACAACGGCTAGATAGGATAAGATTTTGGTGATGTGAGCTCACCCAATTGAGCCTTGTGAGCCACTGATAAAGAAATAAAGCTGACACTCGCACTCCATGACCCCAATCACACAAAACCATGTGAATGGATACACCCACAACATTGAAAAGCTGTAAAAAATAAAGCTTCTCAGGAATTTGATTGGAAAGAAGGCATTGCATTCTTCATAAAGGAAGACCGTCATTTTCTTCTTTTGCAAAAGTCTCTTGAGAATTTAGGGTAGGAAAGGATCTCAAAGATTGCATGGAGGAACAAATTGGTAATATGCAACTACTTCAATGTTCCCATAATTTTGGCATACTTTGCCCTCCAACTTCACCTTGGCTAGGCGTAGAGATTCGAAGACATGAGAAAATGAACTTCCTCTCTCAGCGGCTGTCAATCGAGAAACCACAGGTCAAAACCCATGGATTCGTTGTTTGCTTACTGACTTCATAATTTAGTGAGGGCAATTACACGATGCAAGGTATGCTTCAGAAAGGCCTAGATACATCATACATCTGAAAAGTTTCCCAGGGATCTGGTTGAAAGACTCGCCGACGCACACCGGTGAAACTTTAGGGCCTCATTGGCTCAGATATTGATCTTACTGGGGAACGAATCAGAAATCTAAAGAGAAGCACACCCTCTACCACTAAGAAAAACGAACTTGTGAGGGAATATGAATGGAAAAAACTTTCAGCTCCTTCTCCTTTGGGATCTTCCCATCCTCAACAATCACATCCTCAATAACAATGTGCTCTTTTCGATATCTTTTTGCTGATTTCTCAATAACAGCTTCTTCAAGAATCATACAGCTACAAAGGGTAATAGCATCCAAATGGCCCTTGAGAACTGACTCGGGTTGACCAGGAAGGTGAGCACACAACTTGGAAAGATTTGAGACTTGCTGATCCAATTGGGAGATTTGGGTCTAAATCATCTTGTTGTGAGACAACATTTAGTTGAACCTTGAATTAGCATGCTGAAGTGATCATCCTTATGCATTGACTAACTATAAAATTCTCCATAAATTTTCTAGGTTAGACTTTTGTAGAGGCTATTGAAATTGCAAAGGGGTAAGTGATGGGGATTTTGGACATGATTGAAAACCCGGGGGCAAATATCATTGAAATGCTTGTTGAAGCGACTGCAAGCCAAGGTTGGGATGGTAAGGGGAAGTTCTGGTGCTACTACCATTACGAGTTAAAGGTTAGAGGGTAGAATTGCTCCACAAATTCAAATTCCCTAGAGGCCTCAGTCGGTTGTATAACATTAGCTTGCTCAACCATCATGCCTTGTGGTACTTGCATGAAGGCAGAACAACCCTCAAAACCCTAACCTAGGACACCGCAAGCGTCACAACAATCGACCAATGAGCTCGATCTGACTTCTTCCAGATTCATCTTGGAAATTCGACTTTCTAATGAATCAAATTGATTGGAAAGCATTTGATTCAAACCTCATCGCCTTCTTGATCATGGCCCACTCATTGGGTTTGTCGATTGTTGGATGGTAGTTCAAAAACTGGTAATATCAAACTGGTCTGTGTGTTTGTACACCCACTTTTATTTATGCATTTTTCATCTAATAGTTGATATTGATTTTTCCTTTGGTTCGAGAAAGGGTATTTTTGTCCATTGTGTTATGTGTGTTTCAACATAAAGCGTTGATGCAATAATTTTCGTCGCTACCACTATTTCTGTCATAGGTATCATTTCCTGCTGTTATTGCAATCATCTGCTAGGGTCACTAGCTCACTCCCATTGTTTCTATCACATATCGCCACCGAAATCATTGCCTTCTACACATGTAAGTAATTCTTTGAAATATTTTAAAGAACTACTTACATGTATAAATAGCAACGATTCCAATGGTGATGTGCGACACAAACAATGGCAGTGGCCGGAGCAAATGATTTATGATAACAGAAGAAAATGATGTCGGTGACAAAAATAATAACATTGTCCACAAAGATTGCTTGACTTGAAAATAAACAAAAAGAGCAAATGGACAAACGTACAAAAGGCAAAATCATTATCAACCATTAAATTAAAATACATCAACGGACGAGAAGTGGTATCACGAACATAGGTGGTCTCAGCCCTCTATCTCTCTCTCTCTCATATATATATATATATATATATATATATATATATATAGATAGATAGATAGATAGATAGATAGAGGTTGAAATGAGAGCACCACCCTTTGTGAGAACGCGAGAAAACCAATATCACATGTGATATTATAGCAAGGAAACCCAAGTGTGAGCATTACTTGGCCCGTGACCTAGGTCGCAACCAAGGTCACCCAGTTCTCTGATGTCGTACCACATATGGTATAGGTGTACTCAAGTTCCCATAAAAGAGTGGTGTTCTCATCTGAACCCACCCCTATATATTGTGTGATATTTGTATTTGGTATTTTGATGTAAAAGACTTGTTTTTTCTTATGATTTATGATTATGTTGGTTGTTTAATTTATATGGATATCTATTTATGATTTTATGGGTAGCGTTTTAAGTAAAACAGGTGAAATTTTGGTTTCAAATATTGGATGGATCCAATCTAATCCAGTAAATAGCCAATAATAATATCTAGTGAATAGATCGGATCCAATCCATAGAGTCGGTTGTTCAAAGTTAATTTGATTGGATATTGTCAAACTTCAAGATTCAATGGATGACTGGATTTGACTGGTTCTGCCCAAATCTATAGGATGTGAACCAATGAACACCCCTAGCAAATTATAGATCTTCTAAATGAAGTTTCCCTAATAACTATGCATCTCCGGAAGTTTGCACAGTAACTGGTTGTATAAAGATGATTGAATTTGGTAAGCATAAATTTATAGGGACAGAAAAGAATGTAGAGGCCTAGAGACCTACGGAATGAAGCAACACTCTTTCCCCTTCCAAGTTTATTTTCTCACATTATATTGTCTATTCTCTCACTTCCATCAAGAAGTTTCTTCCCTTCAAGGAAATCGTAATTTAAAGAACATGCATTAGAATATTAGATGACTACAAAAAATCTCCAAGTACCTTGTTGACATTTTCCAATTTCTTCACTCTCAATAAAGGGCAAATGGGCAATACTGCATCATTCTATTGTACTATTTTTTTACATTTGTACTACAGTTCCATCACCAGATTCACTTGTGTCTAAATATTGATCAATTAATCAAGTAACACAGTCAAAAAAAGGGCGCAAAGTGCAAACGAAATGAACAGCATTATAGGGTTGAAGTTCAGGTGCTAATTTGGTAACAATGGGGTTAAGCTAAAAGCTGCACAGCAAAGAGCAGATTATCTTCTTAGAAATACTCGTGCCTCGGGTCACTATAACAACTATTGTCATGAGCTTGTACCTACCCTTGGTAATAGGCTATAGATATTCAAGTCTAAGTTGTGATTGTCCATTAGTTACCAATTAATCCAAGCAGACACTTTGAAGTCAACAGGAAGACAAGAAATTAAGTCCTACCCTTTCAATTATTTCGTTGACTGAGCACTGAACACCATAAGCGACATTCTTGCCTCACCTTGAGTAACTAAGAGCTCAGTACTTGATGAGAGTTAGTTAACGTAACCGAATACAAAATAGAGTAACGATATTGGAAGGGTAGATAAACAAAGTTAAGTACCCAAGCAAAAAACGTGCACAAATAGAGGGTCACACATACCAATAACTGCTGCTACTGTTGTTGTTGCTGGGTGCTTGGTGGAGGCGGCATGCCAGGACGAGGAGGTCCAAAACCAGGAATTTGCCCACCAGGCGGAGGCATTCCAGGCCGAGCAGGAGGAGGCGGACCAGGCATACCAGGTCGTGGTGGTCCACCAGGCGGTGGCGGACCCCTCATCATCTGGGGCGGTGGAACCATAGGTCTTTGTCCATACTGCCCTGGTGGAGGCACCTGATACTGACCAGGCGGCCGTTGAGCAAACTGAGGGGGCATCTGCGGAGGCGGTCCACGTGGCATCTGAGGCGGAGGACCCTGTCCAGGGTACGGCATTTGTCCAGGTCGGATCACCGGAGCCTGCGGGTAATTCATAGGCGGGGCAGACATATTCGGAACAGGCGGTCGAGAAATCTGCGGTTGCATCATACCAGGAGCCGGCCCACCAATCCCCCGAACTGGTCCAGCCAAACCCGGTTGAGCTTGAATCATAGGAGCAGTAGGGATTCCACGCCCAGCAGCACGGCCGAGACCAGGACCGGCCAATGCAGCGGCTCCAACAGCTTTAGCTCGATTTTCATCAGGCGGGGGAGGGCCTTCAACGGTCATGGAGATCACCTCTTCACCCCTCAGAAGAACGAGGCCGAGCGTGCGGCGGTCCTCGCGTTCTTCGTTCTTTTTCGCACCTTTGGCAGGAGGAAGCTTACGGAATTCTTCACAGTCTCCGATTACAAGGTTCATGTGGCGGTCGAAGGCCATGAACTTGCCCACTAGCTGTCGGCCGTCTTGAATCGTGATTCGCATACGATAGTTGATGAACTGGAGCATCTTCGAACCCTTCGACATCGACATTTTGTGGATCTTAGGGTTAGGGTATCACAGATTATGAGAGGGTTAGGGTTTTAGGAAGGGGGGAAGCAGAGTTCAAATGAGGACTGATGTAGACCGGGAGTCGTTGTTGTTTACTGAATTTTATGAACAAGTCCCTACGGTTTTATACTTGCTTCTAACCATCCTTGTTATTCATGTTTTTACAAATCAGTCCTTATAAATCTCCTTAACCATGGCAAACTTTTGAAGATTTGTATTATACTTTTTACAACATCAATACATCAAATTTATATATTTTTGTATGCTAAATGTAATAATAATTCCATAGGAAACGATTTCTTCATCTGAAATAATGGATGTTTGATTAGAGATATTAAACAGTCATTTATGGTTCCTAATCAGTTTTTGGGATTGGATAACTTAGATCACAGATACCCTTAAGCATCGTCCCTAACCAGTTTTTAAAAACTCATGCCTACGCATTAAGTTTTATCCCACCACGAATTCACGATTAATTAGTTGAAGGTGTTAATACACGCATAGGGATTTTCATCTTATCATTGAATTATCTTAATAAACTATTTAGATCAATGTACTTTCTAGTTTAACATAAAGTACGTATCTTTATTTGCGTTGCAACCATGCGGTATTCAATCACACTAAGGGCTTATTTACTTGCGGCTTAATTAGGCTTATTGGTCTATCTGACATATTCGCATAACTCATCTGGGATGTTTACTTACGGCTTATTCACACAGAACATGGCTTAATCGCACAGATAGAAATTGTGTGTTGTCCTCATTCAACCACAAAGATGACACCCCTACCCCTTATTTAAAACACCGCCTCCTTCCCATATGAGACACCCTATCCTCGGCCTCTTTGTGATTTTTTGTTTTGATGTTCAAATAATTAATATTGGATGATAAATTGATCATTTATGTTATTCAGACTGTTGGTTCAGATAAAAAAAAAAGTAAACAACAACACTCATTTATCCAGACAAACAAATTTATCCATACAAGACTTAATTAAAAAATTGATAAACAACCCAGAAGTGGTATCAATTATTATCTTTAACCTAAGTATGTATCTGTAATATTTGATTATTTTTTTTAAATAATTAAACATTTATATTTTTAGTACAAGTGGTGTATTTTGAGTAGAGAAACTCAAATTTCCCATTGAATATACCCAAAAACCAATCTAAAAACCCCATTTGTCATCATGTAAATTGGGAGTCATAAATATGGGTATTTAGGCTTGACTATTTGAATCATTATTGCAAAAAAAAAAAAAAAAAAAGTTGAAATTTAGAATTTGAAGAATATTTCAATCATTGAGTAACCGAGACGTGGGTGCTACAGATTTAGCCTCGTTGCTTGTGGGCGTGCCAAATTTCAACCACAACCCCCTAAAGTCTCCACGGATAATTAATTATTAAATATATTGCAATTTATTTAAATATTTGATTATGTTATATCAATCATTATTTGATGAAAATAAAAAAAAAGGAGGAAAGGTAATAAAAAAAACTTGGATTAATGAATGAATTTATATTGGAAATAGCATGATGAGTTATTTTGAATATCATTTAATATTATAAGAAATCGAATATAACGATTTAATAAATTATCTTATAATTGTTTGGGTAAAATGCACAAAATAATAATCTACTTTCATAATTTTTTTATTATAGCATTGTACTTTCAGTTTTTCTAATTACAGCAATGTACTTTTAAATTATTTTTTATTAGGACATTGTACCTTGAAAAATTTACCCATTATAGCATTGGATAACCTTTTTATTTGTATTTACCTATTATACAAGGTTTTCATGTCACCTCATTATCCACATAGGTTGTCCACATGTACTATAGTGATGTGATTTTTTTATTACAACATTATATTTTTAAAATTATTTTATTATAACATCTATTAGTTTTTATTAAATAATGTACTTTTAATTTTAATATTTAGATATTTTACATGTTATTAAATAAATATATTAAATGAATTAAAATAATTCTAAATTATTTATTAATATACCAATATTAATAAAACTAGCAGAAGACAACTTATCTCGCTAATATTTAAAAAATGTGTTTCTTGAAAAAAGAAAATAAGAATTGTTTTTTTTACCTAAAAAATATTATCTTTTAAAAAGTATATTATATTTGTTCAAAAACTTTTACTTGACGTATAAATATATTAAATTAATTAGATTTTTTGAATTATTTATTAACATAACAATATTAAAATTGTAGATCACAATTTATTTCGTTAACATTTTAGATAGAACTTTAAAATATTTGTAGTTTTTTAACAACATAAAATAAGAAGTATTACTTTTTACAAACAAAATATATCTCGAAAATAATGTATCATATTTATTTAAGAAATATTTTACTCTATAATATTTAATTTGTATACAACTTAATAAGAAAAGGTAAAAAAAATTACATTTTTTTTAAATTATAGCAATGAAAAATGAATATCACTAATAATAATTTGAAATAGGTTTTTATTTTTATTTTAGTTAAGTCGTCAAAATGATATGTCATCCACTTCACATCATTAAAGCCACACAAGTAAAAAAAGTCAAGGGGTTAACCGGTTTAAAAAGTAACAGGTTACCCATTGCTATAATGGTAGATTTTTTAAAGTGCGATACTTTAATAAAAAATAATTTGAAAGCACATTGTTGTAATAAAAAAAACAAAAGTACAATGCTATAATAGGAAGATTTGTGAAAGTATGTTGCTATTTCATGCATTTAACTCTAATTGTTCAATAAATTATCAAAACTATTTTTTGGGTAGTCATTTTTGTTCTGGTTTTTTTAGTTGTAGTCTCTGTTGTCTGTTTATGGTTCTTTTTTACTTCGGTTTCTTGATGGATTTTCGAGCATTTTTCTATTTCTCAATACCTTTTTCTTTTCCTTTTGTTTTTCACTTTTTTCTCAATAAAATTTACCTTTAAAAATATTAAAACAACTTTATCAATGTTAAAATAAATGTAATGCTAGATTTGATATACTACGATTTTCGTCCATACGATTTGTAAAAGATTGTGATTTTTGTTTTTGAATTGTAATTTCCATCTCTATAGTTTGTAATTTATTGTTGTTTTCGTTCTTATGGTTCATAATTTATTGTTGTTTTCGTGAAATTATATATATTACAGATCCTCAATTTAACTCTGAAGTATTTTAGTATTATCAATATTTTGTTACTTTGGTTTATTAGATATCTTTTTAGGGGTATTTTAATATTTTTTGTATTTTAGTCATCTTGATTTTAAAATTTTATATATTTCTTATTAATAATTAATCCAAAAACTTTATTTTTAAGATAAAATAATTAAATATTTACTCAGCTTTCTTATATCATTGGTCATTATAGTTTTAATTTTTTTATGAATTCAATTTTTGTCACTAACGTCGTTCAAATGCAAGTCGTTGATACTTTTAAACTTATTGTAATATATTTATATAAAACATACATTTGTTTGATATAACTGAATGACTTATGTGACCAAATAGTTGTACATTTAATTAATAAAATCACACACACATTTTTTGGGTAAAAATAGCTTTAAAAAATAGTTAACTGTTTGTTCCTATAAAAAATATAATTGTTTGGTCTATAACGAAGAAAAAAGAATTAAAATACTTTTATATCAATGATACTCAACGGCTTGCACTTGAACGATGTTAGTGGTAGAAATCAAACTCACAAGAAACTTAAACTATAGTGACTACAGGTATGAAAAAACTAATTGTATGGAAATATTTAATTATCTTATCATAAACAATAATAAAATAATATAGTTTGTTATGAATTAATTTTTTTTATCAAAAAGTATATAGTTTTATATCAAAAAGACTAGAATACCGAAAAATAAATCAAAAATACTAAAAAAACCCTAAATTTATGTAACATTTTTAACATACTCAGGGGATGTTTACCTAAACACTTACCCGGTAAGCGTTTAACGGTAAAATTCAACTCTATATCTTATTTATCGGGCAAAATTTTAGTCTATCAAAACGACATCGTATGTAACAATTTACCTAGTAAGCGTTGACCGTGGTAAAAATCGTCGTCATCACTTACCGGGTAAGACTCTCGGTTCGTGTTTTCGCTTTTACCAGGTAGGATTCTTGATCATTGTCATATTCATCCGGTAAGGGAATGTGACTTGATAATCGCTTATAAGCATTTGGTAAACGGCCCCCTAATCTCATAAACGAAAACAACAATAAACTACAAATCATACGAACAAAAATCGCAATTTTAAAACCATATAACAAAAATCGTAGTTTATCCTGTAATTTAATAATACCTATATTTGATTTTTTATTGACTCCTTAGTTAAAATGTGTTTTTGAAATGCTTATCGATTGATCAAAATGCCTAACATGCATTTTCTTTTTAAAAGAAACATATAAACCTGGAATTAAAATTACTAATCTCTATTTCTACTAACGATCAAAAAATTGAAAATCTATAAAAGAATAAGAAAGGAAACGGTTGCTCAATACCTGATCGTTATTGATACTAGTGACTCGTGGATTATTTGTGAAATCACTTACTGATCAATACTATTGAATGCCACTGAACGCACACACTTATCATGTTGATCATTGCACATCTGTAACACCTAGGCTTTTATTTTATTTGTATGGTTATAAAATTTATTTTTCTTTAAAAAAAAAAAGAAAAGGATTAGAATTAATTTACATATATTTATATTGGGAATTTAAACCCTTTTTGTTTTGTTGGTTCTTTAAAAAGAAGAGAGAAGGGGGGGGGGGGGGGGGGGTTACCCTGGAAAGTCTTTACCCACCATACCTTATTGATTGTTTAGAGGATAAAGAAAAGGAGTTTGCATGGGGAAAAGGGAGTCCTCACCACTCGGTTTTTGAGGAAAAAGAAAAGGAGAAGAGAAGGAGGGAAGTTGGAAGGAAGGACGAGCTTCTGTTCGAAAGAGAAGGGGGGGGGGGTTATAAGCATTCCCTCTTGAAAATCTCAGACCGCCGGAAGTAGCATCGGTCGGCCATGTGCGCCGTCCTCCTCCGGTTTCCTTGCCCAAACAGCAGCAGCCGGAACTGTCTCCTTCAACCAGCAACAGCAGCGGCAGGAAGCAAGACCGTCGTGTCTGCCTCGACCAGCGACAGCAGCAGCAAGGGAGGGAGCTGCTGCGTGCTTTTCCTGCCGGGACCGAACAGCGCACAGCAGGCATCGGCCTCGCTA